AGCATACAAAAGAGGCTTTAATTTTTGAAAGTTAAATTACAAAGAAATAAAAGAAGCTTTTTCAAGCATAGGCACAGATTGGAATACTTTTGCATTAATTAATATTATAAGCTTGTGTTTAGAGTGGACGACTTAATTTGAAGGAAAAACGCTGTTCTTCCTGATGCCATTAGCACTGTTAATATTGTTCATTCTGTGTCATTCCTGGGGAAGGCTAGGAAGGCAGCAGTTGAACAATCTCTATGTGCAGCAATATAGAAGCTTAATTTTAAAAACTTAGTTTATCAAAGATACTGTATAAGTGCTTGGAAACTATTATGGCAGTGATGCCTGAGAAAAGAGAGAGAAATGCCTAATGTGTAGAAGTGCCTGCAGGGAGTATCCCATGTGCAGGGCTGGGTTCAGCCAGATGACTCACATCTAACTGAGTGCTAGAAGCATTCCCCTTCACAGTGTGCTCTGAAATACATTCCCAATTATTTGTGTGTACCTTTGACAAAATTCTCTCCATACACAAGGGATGTTATACTTGGGTTTTTGGAGCCCAAAAATAAGCTCTTGCTTGATGATGAGGTCAGGATGCTTCTGGGAATGGTGGCTTGTTGGTTACCAGCTGCTCCCCAGCCAGGAGGAAGTTGTCTCTGTTAAAGAGTCATGCTTTGTTTCTTTTTCTGATTTAAAAAAGAAAAGAAAAAAAAATACTTATGCTGTTTGCTGTCATATTTCTTTGTGATGGGATTGGTGGACTTCAGTAAAATGCTGACTACTATCAGAATTACTGGCCAGATGTTTCAAGATAGAAGGGTGTACGTGCTGGGTTGTCTTCTAAGTGGCATCTTCGTACTGTTGGTTGTAGAGTCAGTAGCCCTGGGAACGTGCTCTCCTTTCCCATCCAGCTGGGACAAGAAATTGGCTGTTAAAGTGTTTTGGGCCTTCCAATGGTTTCTCTTGGTTTCAGTTTTTTGTTGTGGCAGATTTTGACTAGATCAGGGAGCCTAAGTTGAAGCTGGAAATAAAAACCTCACCTATACTTAGCAGTGAAACAAGCGCTGCACTGACCTTGCTTTCAGTTACAGTAACGTAACCTGAGGAAGCTCTGCCAATATCTTCTGTGTACAAGTGTAGGTAGAATTTGTCTCCACAGTCAACTCCTTAATCATTGGATTTTCTAGAGTCTGCAGCTAATTCTGCTCATTATACCATTAGTTTTTTTATGCTAGACATTGGTTTAGGAATAATACTGAGATACCGGCACTTCCAGTCTGAGATTTGAAGTGGGTGTTGGATAATTTGGTTTTAATTCATTTTGTATTTGTCACTAAAGAAATGCCCAAATATTGATGATGATTCCAAAAACTAAAATGAGATTCTTGAGTGGTTGTTTATGAATGTTTAAAGTGAGTTTATACAGTGACATGGTGAAAAAATACAGAAGCTGTATGGCAGGTGTCTGGGCATTGTAAATAATAAAAGCAGAGTCCACTGATGTGAGGGAGAGATTGTTTGCAGTTTCAGACAAAAGAAAGTCTTCAGAAAAATTTGTTTCTGCACTGTAATGGATCTGGAACTGTTGATAGGAGATGTAATATCAAATAAACTTCCATATTGAATGTTCTAATTGTAAGAAGTCGTGGTTGTTTCAGCCAGGGCTATAAATTCATGGAAGAAAGCATGAAAGGAAACTTCTGCAGATTTTACATCCTTGTTTCAGCAGTGCCTTGCTTAAAGGTCAGTGATTACTTTTATTGACCCACACTGATGTGTCTTGTGGTGATTTAGTTAAAATGCATCTCCAAATAATACCAAGAGAAATATGACTTTTGTGCATATGTATATATAAAATATGTATTAATTACTTAGAAGTAGATAAAAGAGGAAATGTAAACCCCTGCAAATGCCTTGAGAGGTCCTATCTGGCTTTGGCTTTGGTAGCATTTCTTATCTAGGTGTTTAAAAGTAAGTATGGTGTAAAAGAGTAAAGATGACATATAACCAAAGAAAAAAGATGGATTGATAAAATTAGTGAGTTAATAAGTGGTTTTTTAAGCTTTGGAAGGTTTTAAAGCTGAACAGATAAGTGACATAGCCTTTTTGTTCTATTTAAGAAAGATTGATAATCTGACAACATTACAAAAGTTATTGTCGTACAAAGGAGATAAGGGTGGATAGAAATAACACATTTCTGGGGGTTTGGGAGTTGACTGGGCTTTTTGTCACTGTGGGTTTTTTCTGCTTTTCTCTTTATGTAGATTTACAAGCAAAAGATAGTAAAACTGTCCTTGCTGGGAGATGACTGGCTGTCACATGCAGAGTTTTACTCACTCATACTGTTTTGAGCTGCACCTTACCATTCCATTGAGATGTTCATTTACACTTACTAAGAAATATGTAGTTATTCTTAAATTTATGAATGTTGGTCAACAACCTGACAGTAGTAACTTGCACTGTAGGACTGACTTGGTTGTTGGAATGTTGACAATGTTATTTTAAAATATTTATTTCAATAAGAATTGAAAATTAGTTCAAGATTAGCCAATCTAAGATTCGTTAAGAAACAACTCTGCTTAAAAGAAAATAAAAATATTCTTTTCTCTTGAAGGCCAGGGAGGTTCTTTGAGGTTACCTGGTGGCTGCACAGATACCCACTAAAAGAAAAATCCCCCAGAGGGGATAGTACAGCAAGGAAGGAGAAAGCAATGATCATTTTTCTCTGTATGTTTTTCTACTACTGATGGGCACAAAACATTTTTGTCTAGAGATTTTCTAGTATCTCTTCAGCCTGCATAATGCCACCATTCACAGGCTTCTATGGGAGGTGTGCCAAGGCAGCCAGAGCTGCTGAAGAACCTGTTGCTCGGGATGCCCTTGCCCTGGGCTATGCTAGGACTGGAGGAACAGCAAAATCCCATTCCAGGATAGAGGAGGGCCTTCCTGATGGAGGCATGTTGTTAACCCTTTGATTGTACAAAAAACTAAAGCAGAGCAAGCAAACTCAGGCATCAGATACCATTTGGCAAACCGTGGTGGAAATGATTACTGGTTACTTGGCAATGGGAAGGTTGCAAATGGCTGTGTTCTAGTTGTGTGGTCAAAGGAAATACAGCTGAGATTATAGTGAAAAGGTCAGTCTCTCACAACCTGCATCTTCTTAGTACACGCTAGGCACTGTCTTGAACTGATGCAAAACCTGCCACGTTTAATATATATTTTAAAAGATAACCCAATAACATGTAAATTCCATTCATAAAAATGGGAAAGTCAAAATTACCATTTCCCTGCTAGCAGTTACTCAGCTTCTTATATTTGTGTAATGTTTCATAAAGCTTTGTATGATGCAACAGTTTCCTTTATGATGTTGTGTTTTTTAATATATATGTATGTGTATGCTTTGAATTCATAATTTAGGTGACAGTTGTAATGTGAATCTTCCTCGCAGTGGAAGTCAGAGCTCTTATTCCACATTACAGTGCACTGTGGCGATAACTTACTTTCTTAGTGAACCAAAACCAGTAGTGATGGTATTTCTTTTGACAGAACAAATTTAAATTTGATGGTGTTGTGATTATCACAAGCTCCTTTTATTTAAATGGTGTATCAGATACGAGCTGCATGTTGTTTTTGATAGGTGATTTTTCACATACTTCTGTCACAGCTGAAAATGTCTCTGGTATTCTGTTTTATCAGCTTTTTATTATTTTCCCTTGGCATTATGGTTATGTAAGAATGGAAGTTGTTTTCTTTTAAATTTGCTTTCTCTTCTTATCTAGCTCTCTTGTGTCTGTCCACACTGGGAGTTTGAATAAGTGAATCATGTTTAATTTCTTTTAAATGCAATACAAAAAAAGGGAAGTTATCAGTTTATTCAGCTAGTGTAGACTGGGATAAACTGTATTTCAGTCTCACCTAAAAGTTTATCCAGTGTTTAAGTCTTGAGTGCATTTTGTATTTTGTGGTTTTAGCATAGTTAGGTCTCATTACAGTCTTTTAAGGAGTACTTTTTGCAATATATAAGACAAGTTTAAACATAGTTCCAAAACTTGGCTTTGAAGCCAAAGTAAATGAGGTCTTGTAGGGCCACATTCCAGCGATTCTAACATCAGAAGAGTATCTGCACTAATAAATTGTTATATTAAAGGGGCTGGATTTTTGTGTGTCTGCAAAAAGCCAGACTGGGGTCTGACATGGGGAAGCATTAAGCTCACTGTTAAAGATGCTAACAAATCTTTTTATGTAATCTTTTTTCCCCGCTGAGGGGAAAAAAACCACAAACCCAAAAAACCCCAAACCTGAAAAAGCAAGATACATTTTGACAACAAATCAAATGCTATTTCAAAAAAGGCTCAATAAAACTAATTATTTAATTTTATTGAGTGTTTTATTTTTTCAGGTTTTCTGATACTCTGCTATAGTCAGTGGAGATACCTCTGTCTTTTTGTGAATTGAGGAGTGAGAATTATGCCAAAAATTAGCTGAGCACTGACATAAATCAAAACCCCAACATATTTTGAAATATTTGCATAAGTGGACTTATGTATGTTGTATATATTTGAATGCAAAACATTCAGTATTCATCACATTTGCAGCACAATTAGCAAACTCTTTTGAGATTTTCATCCTGGGAAAAACAATTAAAAAGCCTTGTAAAGGTTACAAACTTGATTCCTACCAGGAAACTGGATTAAGGCACAGATAGCAGAGCAGGACTGCATCAACTGGGCCTTGTATGGCTGGGCTGAACTTTGCCAGATCAAAATTCACTTTCTGCTGTCGGTGCCTCTCTATACAGGGCAAGGGAAGACTGGGAAAAGCTGTTGATGAATGTGCTCAGCTGTGTTTGATCAGCTCTTTTGCCATCCCTAGATTTTGAGAAGAAAAACAGTTTAGTGTATTGTCTTACAGTGTACATTTTTCCCCCTCACTGTTGTAATAACAATTACATGTTTATAGTGTTGATTCTTTCGAATTTACAATTAAAGAGTCCTCCTCTTGTTTACTTTCAGATTCTTCTCATTCTTTTCATCGAGATGAGACTATTGTTATTGCCCTGGCATCTGTGTCTGTACTGGCTGTTTTGATTGTTGCTCTGTTCTTTGGATACAGGATGCTTGCAGGTAGGGATTGACAGTCTTTTGATTTTGTGTTTTTCAGTTGTTCTTTTGGCTATTTCTCAAAGTTATACTTATGTCTTCTGTTCTCCCCAGTCCCTATTATATGCTTGTACATAATGCTCCCCTTTCTCCTCTCTGACACTTTATGGTGATATCCCTTTCATAACAGTTCAGAAGGATTTATGATTTGTCCAAGCTGGCATTTTGGGACTCATTTTTCTTCCACAAATCATCTGCTCAACGCAGCTTAAGTGAGGTGGTGAACATGCTTTATAGTTATTGCCAGTGACTTTGAGTTTTAGCAGATATCTGTAGTATATTTAGTACTTGTTATGTCCTTGCCTACAATATGTATTTCTGCCAAGTCCCAGGTAAGTTGTATTGTTTTCATTTGGAGCATGTCAAAAAGGAAACTATCTGATTTGCTTCTCTCCCTCTTCCCCAGGAGATCGCAAACAAGGTTTGCACAGTATGAACATGATGGAGGCAGCAGCATCAGAGCCCTCATTGGATCTGGATAATCTAAAGTTGTTAGAGGTAAATGTTCAACTCAGTTTTTAATCTTCATTTTCTTTCAATATAACACTTGTGGTCATATCATCTTCCAGATATAGTTACAGAAATGAATGTATCAGTGCTCCTGTAATGTTTTCTTCACAGTTTAAAGAAGAAATAAAAAGAAAAAAAAGGGTTCCTGCAGTTATATTATTTTGTCTGATTTTGTTAGTAATATTGTTGGAATTAGCTAGAACATGTTCTGCCTCAAGAACAAAAGAGAAGCACTGGGAGGTAATTGGAATGTGCTGTATTTCAGCCTTGCATCAAAAGATCCATCTTTTTGCTTGACACCACTTGCTCTAAGTACAGTATCATACTGTAGTCATTTGGAATTCTTTAGTAACGTTATTGGAATATCGAATGTACTGTAGATAAGGCAGTATATTTCAGTAGTGGTGCATTTATGTATAGTCATTCTTCACTGTGGGGTACAGTCTGTCTCCACGGCAACTAGAGGCCAACCAGAACTCTCTACTCAGCTTGGTGTTAGATGTATCATCACAAAACTGCAAAATGCTGTGCTTCCAGTTGGAATGCTTGATAGAACATATGGAATTTTAAAAAACTTTTAGCCAGAAATAACTGAGTAGAATGACTGAGATGCAGAGAGTGGTACTTTCTTCTTTTTCCCGGTAGAAACCACACCTAGAGATGCAGACTGCAGACATGCAGTGTGGGCTGTGCTAATGGTGACATCACACTAATCAACAAAGAAGCTTCAGTGCCTTCTGCCCACGAAAAAGTATTTGAGGCAGAGCTTACAAGAGTTTAACAATGTGTGTTGTAGAAGTGTGCAAAGCCCCACATGAGAGTACTCGTACTGATATGCAGTCTCTTGGAGAAAGCAGTTACTTCATTGATAGAGAGATCTGCTGTGGGGTCTTCTGTCCTGTTTCTTGTATCTGAAGGAGCTGACTCCTCACCCCCAGTCATAGGGTGTTGCAGGACAAATGTCTTTATCTGTGCTTGCCTTTTGACTCTGTGGGTAGAACACGTTCCAGGTTTGTACCTGGAAGTGACTTGCTGCTGCTTTGCAATCCACTGATGTGAAAGGACTGAGAAACAAAAAGTCTCTCCCTTAAATACTTTCTTGTTGAAAACTTTCCTATTAGACAATTTTATCATTTTTAGAAACATTACTTTTGTTATCCGTTCTGTTTTCCATTCCTCCTCCATTTGTAAGAAGTATTTAAAAAGTATTTAAACTTAAAAAGTAGAAAGATGGTTCATGAAATCCTTAAAGTTCCATGTTATAGATATTCTTGAAAAATATTTTAATTCAATAGGTGCTTAAATTCTTATGTAGTTAAAATCTTTTGAGCTTTAGAAATTAGGACTTTTCCTGAAGGTGGTGCTGCATTTTGGTTTAGGGCAGAGATTGCATCTTTCTTCTTCAGTTGCCATGGAGATGGGAAAGGCCATTCTGTGAAGACTGTCTAGCATAGTGGGAGCTAGAATAAAGATTCACAGGTAGCCAGGAATTAATTGTTCCCGTCTGTTAAAACCTGTTTACCTCTTTTGGTATCTATTTTGCACTATAAATGTGTATTTTGTTATTCCTAACCTAAAAGGCACAGCTTATAAACTGTCCTAAACCTAAAATGTTTACCTTGATGTCTGTGATCTCTGGAGTGAAATAAAATTGATCACATAAAAGCTATAAATGTTTAGTAGGCAAAAGTTTAATAAAAGAATTAACATCACAATAGACATGTATTTTATTGATTCTGTATATAAAATTGCTGAATAGATTGTTTATTATATATTTACTGGTTATTTAGACTAGGTCATTTAGCAAGACCTACACTGGCCTGTGCTGAGGTTTCCAGCTTCAAAATAGCTTTTATGACAGCATTCTAATTCTGGTTTTCACTACAAAATATTTACCATCTTCACTATTTTTTTATAGCACAAGTCAGTATAAAAGTTGGCATACAATTTTTGTGGAGTGAAAACTTGGGGTTTGTCTTCATCTATTATTTAGTGAACTGATTATTGACATTTTTTTTGCAGTTGATTGGCCGGGGACGATATGGAGCAGTGTATAAAGGTTCCCTGGATGAACGTCCAGTTGCTGTGAAAGTATTTTCTTTTGCTAATCGTCAGAATTTTGTCAATGAGAGGAACATTTACAGGATTCCACTGATGGAACACGATAACATCGCCCGCTTCATTGTGGGGGATGAGAGATTCACTGCCGACGGCCGTATGGAATATTTATTGGTGATGGAATATTACCCCAATGTAAGTGCCTCAAAGGAATCAATTGGCTTGGTTTAGAATCCTAAGAATAGCAGCATAAAAAGGATGTACTTAAGTTTTTGTCAGTGCTTTTCATTGCCCTTTCTTGCACAGTAATGTAAAAATAATCCATATAAATTACAATTTTAATGAACCTTAATGTGGTTTACTGTAATAGTCTTTAAGATTTCTCAGTTAGTGCTACCAAACGTAGTCTTACAAATTCTTAGCTGTAGTATTTGGTCTTGGTTACGGTGCAGGTTTTTTAGTCAATTCCGTCCTTACTCAAGGACAGAATTTGGAGAGTTGTTTTTACTTAAAAATAATTTCATAAATTTAGAACTTTTTAATATTAAGACATTTTCTCTCTCTTATGGTAGTTAATGACTTCAGTAGCTGCAAATAGTGGATTTTTTTTACAGTGAAATGTAATAGATCCAGTATTTTTGTCAAACTAGTTTGTGGTACCATAAATCATGTTGCCTTTTTATTCTGTTATCTGCTGTACAGCTTTCTGTGGCATACTGTATTTATTTTTCTGTACCATATACTGATGATGTAGGACAAGTCCTAAGAAGGCAGCCTTACTTTCCAGAACCATATCTTCAAATCTCCTTAGCTAACTGAATGCTTACATCCCTTGAATTCATTGAGTTCCTAATGCTCTGTGTGTGTGTGTGTGTGTACACACAGAAACAAAAATATTTTGAAAACACACAGTATAAATCATCAAATGTAATGTATGTGGGGGTTATGTATATGAAAATGCAAAAAAATTATGTTTTGCAATTTATCTTGGGGCTTTTTTGCCTTTGTGTGGGAAAGAACTGTAGTTATTCAGTAAACCATTTTTTTAATGAGCTTTTTGCTCTCAAGTAAGCCAACTCCTATTGTATTTCCTCCAGGGTGTAAAGGTGATGGCTGAAGCCTGCTCTGTTATGGCAACAGTAGGACAAAAGCTGCCTACTTGAGTAGCAAGAAGGAGCAGAACAGTGATAAGTAGCAGTAGTGATGACCTGTCTTAGGGTTTTTAGGCTCTGCCTATAGTTCTGTTGAAAGTTAAATACACACGTTTAAATACATACCTAAATATGGGTATGTATTTACACACACACACATTTATATATTATATACAAATTTAAGGCAGCATAGCACAAACATATAAAGAGTATCTTAACTGAAACTTTTAAGTGAGAACACACTTGATCATGTCAGGTTGTAAGAGACAGGCATCTAAGGAGATTGCAGAGACTAGAAATGACCATAAGAAAGGTCAGTTTTGCCTGTACCAGATGGATGGTGGCAAAACACATCAGCTCTGGCAGAACAGGCTAATTTTCAAGTAATTGAGTTTAGTGAAATCAAGTGAATATTCTGCTCCTGGGAGGGTATAGCATAACTGTCTTCACAGGTGATCTGGTTTTGCTGTTTCTTGAACGAAAGGATTTTTAGGTGAAATGTACTTTGGTTGAAAATCATGTCTCATTGCTTATATGAACAGGATCTGATTAAATGCACAGATGAGGCTTATGACATCATGTTATCAGATTTTTTCTCAATATGGTATTAAGAACAGCAAGATTAGTCTAAAATCAATCCACTGGTTGTTTGGAAGTCATTGGAAAAAGTGCACAGCAGGTGTAATTAATGCACAGTGTGATCCTTAATTCAGGGAGCAGATGTTCTGCTGTATGTGGAGTTAACAGCAGAGAAGGAAGCCTGCTGTGGCAGCCTTACTAAAAGGGAATTGCAACGTTCAAACTGGAACCATAAATCTGATTTCAAAAAGGACTAACCAATACAAGATGTGCAGGTGAAATATTCTCCACCCAAAACGTCATTCCCCATCAAAATACTTTCCTTCTTGGAAATAAGAACACACAAACCAGAACATTTTCACACAGAAAATTGTTCTTGATGGTGCCTTGGTGAAAGCAAGACAGATAGGTTTGACCCAGATTGCATCATTATCCAAACATGCCTTCAGACCAAAGGAAGCAGGCAAGCAAGTAAGGAAACATAGGTGTATTTATCAGTCAGCAGGCTGTTCTGGTGGTACTCTGACATGTGGTAGGTGAATAAGAAAGCTGAGAGGGATGACATAGTAGGAAATAGGTAATAGCCACAGAATTATTGCCCTGGTAGTCAGACACTGATGTCCTTTTAGAACAACAGAAAAATTGTTGTAAAACACAAATAGAATCTTTTGAGTGTTCAAAGCATCGATTTTATCAATAGTTAGAATCAGAACAAATGTGCCCATTTTAACATGTAACTCATGACTCTGACAATTACAAATATATCTCTCTCAAAAATCTTGACTAAAATTTTCCTGATTGTCATTTATATTGAACTGAACTAAAAACATAAAATCACAGCCCTCAGCTAGCTTAAAAATTATCTGGTGGCTAACAGGCTCTGCAGCAAGAAAGATCTTGAAGCTAGTTTGAGATCTTTATGTAGTGAGTATTTCCCAGTCACACCATGACAACAATCCTGCAGCCTCTCTTAGAATGGGCTGGAACCTCAACCTGCTGAGCAAGAAAGTCTGTTACTGCACCCGAGTTGCTGACAGTTGGAGGCTAATCAAAGTGCTTGTATTTCTTAAAAAACTTTAAAGAGTAAGAAAAAATGAGAAGTTCTTTTAACTCATTTCTAAGTGAATTCTTAGGATTTTTATGTGTTACAGAATCTATTTGAATTTCATTTATTTAAAAAGAATATATATACTTGTGCAAACCGGTATGAGTGACATTTGGTCTGTGTTGTCACCGAGGAGGTTGTTGATTTAAGGCTTCCTTGTTCTGCACAGACTAAGTCCGAAAAGGTGTAAGACTCTTGTGATTCTATTAAGGAGTGTCAACAATTTGGTTTTACTTTGGCACTGGATTAAAAAAATGTCTAATATTTTGGTCACTTTAAATCCTGGTGTCTGTGTGTCTCCATCTGAACTGTGCATGCATTACCTACCTGAATGTCGACTTCAAACAGATTGAAATGCCACATACCAAATTTTTATGAACCAAATGTTAAAGAAACTAATTTTGCAATAACATGTATTTAGTTGCAGCTGTAATGTGACACATTGATGCATCTTTGAGATTACAGATTTTAAATAGGCAAAATCAGGGTAGTTTGTAGTTATAAAAATATCCTAATAAATATGCAGAGATAACTGGATGACTTGTTCTTCATGAATAAGGATTTAGTTTATTTAAACTGAGTATATTGTCACTGGGGACTGTGCATAAGAACCTCTCAAAGTTGTTGTAGTTTGCAGAGTCTGGCTCTTGTTTTGGATTGCAGTCTCAGTTTCTAGAATATCTCAGTATTCTAATTCACACCCTTCCTTCTGGTTTTCTTGGAGATTTCACGACAAACTACTAGAAAATCCCCCATTTTACACATGTAACTTCTCTTTCAAGAAGAGGGGAACATGACATTCTTTTTTTCATGTTTCTTCAGTACATGTGAAGTCATTCCTATTCTGAGTTACCTTAGGGGTTTTTTTGTTTGAATACATAAATAGATTATAGCTGGGCCAGTGAGAGATGTTGAGTATTCTGTAAGTGCCCACATATGTATGTGGGTCTAAAGCCCACATAACCCAGGCTGTTATGTCTTCAGTTACCTTTCTTTTGTTCTGCAACAAGATTTTTATAATTAATTATTTCTAAGGCAATCCCTGTTATTTTGTGGGAAAATTTCTATTCCACTTTAGATAAACCAAATGGCAGCACTAGAAATTAGTGCAACTTTGGTCCAGTCACGGGTTTTAGAATATGTGAGTAAACACAGAAGCAGTTGCAGGTTTATACCGTTCAGGAGCAATGGATAAAACTGACCTTCCTAAAGATTTTAAGGTATTCAACTGAACAATGATCTTAATCCATGTTTGTTTTGATCTTAATCCACTTGTTTTGTTTTTGGTTGGGTTTTTTTAGGGTTCTCTGTGCAAATATCTGAGTCTCCACACGAGTGACTGGGTGAGCTCTTGTCGCTTGGCACACTCCATAACTAGGGGCCTGGCGTACCTGCACACGGAGCTGCCTCGAGGAGGTAAGGCCAGGAAGGGATTCCAAGATCTTCCAAGGTACTCTTATTTCTGTCTGGTAGTAGATTCCCGCCTTTCTTTTTTTCTCTGTGACAGTACAGAGATTAGGAAATGATGAATGCCAGTAGGGACTGCTCAGAACTTCTGGTATGTTCTTTGCTTCTGAACAACCCCGCGTCGTGGGCTCTGTCTGTGATGCTCCTATGAAAACAGGAGTGAGAGAGCTAGGAGAGCCCCAGAGAGAGGCAAGAGGAGGAGGCAGAGCTGTGCAGTGCTGCTGTATCATGGCAACAGATTACTGAAGACCTGAAGCACTGGCTGTCTGTCTAGCAGAGGGCAAACAGATGGGGTGTTGCGTTTGTTTTTGCAGTTCAGACACAGATCACCAAAGCAATTTTTAGTTTGTATGTGAACTGTATACACAAGGAGAAATAATTATGTCTTCTAACTCCACTGAAGTTTTATTTATCATGTCTTGATTACTGTCTAAGGGTTTGGCCCTAGCCTTTGCTGTGTACAAACGATGTACTGGACTTCTGGTGTTTTATTAGAGTACTGGATGTGACAGTGTATTGATTTGTATCTTTGTATCTGATGCATGCTTCAGCCAACATTTCAGCAGCTGAAGTGTCATGATTATAAAGCAGAGATTCTGAGATCTGTGATCTATCGGGCTGCAGAATATGTCCTGGCAATTAAGCTCTTTGGCAGTAAATAAAAGGATAGTTTCATTGAATCTACATTAAGGTGCTAGTGGTTTGTTTAAAATTCCAAACCATATATCTCAAATGTTAAGCATCAGCTCTAGCAAAGAACGACAACTGAAGATGCTGCTAGAAGTGCAAGCCTGAAAATACCTAAATCAGTATTCCTATGTGACATTGAAACTGCAGCTATCATCTTAAATTCATCATTTCAAAATGTGCAGACACGTGTGTCCATTAGCAGCCAAAAAATGTGTAAGCCTTCCCTCAGAAAGAAGAGACAGCCATAGTCTGTGAATGCTAGAGAGAAATTCATGGAGTAGAATGAATTCCACAGTAAAATGAGTTCTATAGTGCTAGCTGCTTTACTGACAAAATAAACTGCATATAAACTAGGAACAACTGAGATTATTCTTTTGAAAAGATCAGATCCCATGCAAGGTGAACATGTTCAGACTCTGTTCAGGAATAATTTTGTCTACATGTCTTCTGAATAGGTGCCAATGCCAATTCCCATCATAATGTAAATAGTTGGTGCCCTGTTTGACACAGGAGTGTGGATATGAGAGAGAGTATTTGAAATGGCTTTTAGGGCTGTGGCAGCAGGTCTGTGCTTAAGTACACAAGGTCTCCACTGCCAAAATAATGCTGAAATATCCCTTGGAAAGAAAATCATTGGCAAACAGTAGAACTGTATCTAGCAGTAGCCTAATACATTATGTAGGTATGGTGAAACTCTGAATGCCAGTTGGTTTTCTATGGATTGCATACTCTGGAGCTCATTGTAAAGAAACCAAAATGTTAGCTTTCTAAAATATAGGTTGATTCTCAATTTATAATAGCTGAGCAGACATAATCTGGTTCTCTCATTTTGCCAAACAGTAGAATTGCTCAAATAGTAATGAGCACTTTCATTTGTCCAAATAGACCATTACAAACCTGCGATATCCCATCGTGACTTGAACAGCCGCAATGTCCTGGTAAAGAACGATGGAACATGTGTAATTAGTGATTTTGGACTCTCAATGAAGTTAACTGGAAACAGACTAGTACGACCAGGTGAGGAAGATAATGCAGCCATTAGTGAGGTAAGTATAAATGAAGATAAACCGGTGCATAAAAGAGCAAATTAGTATGGAAGTAACACCGAGAAAGAGTTATTTCTGTTGCTACAAGGTGAATGTTCAGGTGGTACAGTTTCTGTAAGAGGGAGTTGCTGCAGTGTAGGTGAGAAGTGACTGAGATCTCCATAGGAAGAAACTGGTTTTATTCTCAAAACACGCAGACAAACGTAGCATTTTGAAAGGCGATAGGTTGGCAGCCCGGGAGACTGAAGTTTCTGTGTGAGATACAAGAAGACATAAGGTAGGTTTGGTTGCCATGTTCTTTGCAGTGATGTGGTACAGGTCCCTTCAGTCTTGTACTGCAAGGGTTAACTGAAGACCAAACATCCTTTGGTGGTTTTGGTGTTAATTTTTGCAGAATGGTGACATAGCACATTCTACATCCTACAATGATTTCTCGGGGTGTCATCTGCAATTTTCTGGACTTTAAATGGATACATCTGTGTTAGAATGAGTACATGGAGACATGGACCAATTGAAAAGAACAGGGTCAGAAAAACCAGGGGGTGCTTGAAAGAGTACCTTATGGGAAAAAATAAAAGAATGAAGGTTGTTTAGGGAAGACAGAGACAGGTCTTCAAGTATGTAAACAACTGCTACAAAGGGAAAGGAATAAACTGTTTGCATTCAGGACAAGAGATAATGGGATTATATTGCAGGAGGGAAAATTCAGGTTAGTTACCAAGAAACCCTTTCTAATCTGTGGAAGGCAGCCAGGGTCTGGAATGGACTGCTAAGGAAGGCTGTATAGAATTTGCATCATTTTATGAATTTAAGGAACAGATTGGGAAAACATCTGTTAGGAGTGGGTTATAATGGATTCTAGGCAGAAAGAAGAAACTGATTTCTTAAGCTTTCCTTTTTATGATGCTGTGACTCAGAGAGTGGGGGAGTTTTTTGTTGTTGTTTTCTTTTTGTATAATATAAATATACTTGACATCCAATACGGGCTATGGAAATACAGTGAGGCTGTTTTAAACACAATGAAAGTCCCTAATGGTTCAGTAAATTTGTCTGTGCTTTTACAGAAAACCTTTACATTTCATTCAAAGAGTATGTTTTGCAGTGCTAATCACCTTCCCTTAGAAAGCAAGTGCTAAATTGATAGTACCTAGTTCACATGTGCTCCTTTTAGATCTCCCCTTACTGAACAAAGAAACAGGGAAAGTGCTGTTAAAATGGAGCTGTAGGGAGCAGTCCTGTGACAAAACACTCTTGTACTAGTACTGATGAGTGAGTGCTCTAATCTATCTAACATATGTCCTAGTGAAAATTAATAGAGTCTTACAAGGCTGTTAATAACCTTTGACTGTGGAAGGTTAGGGTAGAGCCTTGGTGACAGTTCAGGAAAAAGAGTACAAGTTTCCTCTTCAGTAGCACCCTCTTCCATTATGATACATACCTTGATGTTTAACAGAGTAATTCCAGGGGGGAAAAAACATTTCTGAGAACATTAAATAAAGGACAAAGTTATTTTGTTCTGGTACATACAAAAAAGTGACAAAGTAGGGCAAGGGTTTTGTTATGACTAGGCTGCTGGTAAGAGTCTAGAAGCTGAGGACATTGATTAGAAGAGAACTCCATTTTCCATAACTATAGAAAACACCAAACAAAATAGGGTATTAAAAAATAAATCTCCACAATAAATTAAATTTGGAAATTACTTCCTGATGTGAAGCTTTGATTTGATGTTTTCTCAGGTCGGCACGATCCGCTATATGGCCCCAGAAGTGCTTGAAGGAGCAGTGAACTTGAGGGACTGTGAATCTGCTTTGAAACAAGTGGATATGTACGCGCTAGGCCTTATCTACTGGGAGATCTTCATGAGATGTACAGACCTCTTCCCAGGTAACTAAAAGAACTGGGAAAAGCGTAATAGGTAGAAAGCAGTACCAGCAACCAAAGCTACTCCTTAGCCAGAGCTTTTGAAAGTGAAGAGGGGAGTTACTTTTCTCAGTTGCTTCTGCCATTAAGTCGGTGCCATCTAGTGTTCGCAGTGGTGGTTGTCAGCGCAGTGTGTTTGAGGGTGAGGCATGGTTCCTGCTGGGAGACTTGGAATTACCTGTTTAAGCAGTTTGCAGGCCTCGTGGTAAGGGCAATTTGAGCATTATTATTATTGTCCAGAGCTTAAATACACTGAGAGTTAATCTGGTGGGAAAGGCGGTACTTCCAGTTGTTAGAACCGATAAAAGTGTTTTTCAGACTTTTCCCATGAAAGAATGTGTGGAAAAACAGTGTGATTTAATGTAGTCTTTAGTCAGTTGTACTTTTATTTATGATAGTGACATGAAAATGCAGGGAAATCTTCCAAACCTGTAACACGAAACAAAAGGAAGTAGACTTATAAAATTTAACAACGAGGTTGTGCCACACCCACCATCCTCTTTCCAAGCAAGACCATATAGAGTGAATCTAAAATGCAGCATTCTTTCTGTAGTCAAACAGATGCACTTTATGTGCAGAGGCTTGTAATCTTGCTGGGCTTCCTCACAAATAAGTACATGAATATAATCAGTCAGTGGTGTTTCATGGAAAGTAGGTGTCATCCTCAGGCTCCAAGACATTCTGAATGTGCCACTCAGCCAGCAAAGTTTGAGGATGTTATCCTTGGAAAGGTTGCTGAACAGCACATAATTCATTTGCAGTTAATTCAGATTTTTTTTGTAGAGAAAGTAGGGAACATCTTGTTAGACAGCAATTTCGATGATACCTTTCATCACCTGAAAGCCTTTGCTTTGCCTTTTAATCTGATTGATTTTTTCCCCCCCTCTTTCTTTCTTTTGCTAACAGGGGAATCTGTGCCAGAGTACCAGATGGCTTTCCAGACTGAAGTCGGAAACCATCCCACTTTTGAAGATATGCAAGTCTTGGTGTCTAGAGAGAAGCAAAGACCAAAATTCCCAGAAGCGTGGAAGGAGAACAGTTTGGTGAGATAGAATATTTGCAAAGAAACAGTGATTTAATCAGCTTTAGGGTGTACTTATTTCTTAAAAGCAATTTTTTATTTCTTTTTTAATGTTTGATAGTGTTTAAGGATTGGGAGCTGTTTCTGTCTGGACTTCTTAAATATGGAATTCAGTTTTTAAAAAGCCATTGACATGAAAACTAGATTTCTTTTCAGGAAAAATACTATTATTATTATTACTATTATTGGATGCTGCAGTGTGATACCCAGCAGATAACTTCTTATATTAATTGTTAGACACTATCTGTAGTACTATATGTGAAGTGCCCATGTGTTCTCTGGATGCTAGATGAGAAACATGAAGGCAGTTTTTGCCTTTTGACATCTTATAAACTAATAAAACCATAAAATAGTTGGCAAAATTGCCAGTATACTGTTCCAAAACTAAAATCTGTAAACATTGTAATAAACTTTTTCTGAACTTGTATAGTCCTCAGAATTTGCAGAGGCTATAGCTTCCAGCAATCATTTCATTAGAACTACATTAAAAATTTTATATGGCTTCATTTGATCTGCAATTTTTGTTTTCAAGACCATAAAGTAGTAATGTTGTTTGTTGTTTTGAATAAGTTTAGCTATGGCTTAGAGCCTTGCTTGCTGCTGCAGGCCAACAAGTTACAGCAAGTCAGCTGAACTCTGGTGAGTCTGTGTGCTTGCTTTCCTCTGCAGCAAAGGTGAGGTAATGCTAATCCCCTTAGCTTAGAGGGGGCTGTTTGTCTTTTATGACAAGGGAAGTGAAATGGACCTGATCCATGGTAACTTGTTTAAGCTAATACAACTTGATTGAGAGTATGGAAATTACATATTTGACTCTTTCTTAAAAAGATACTTCCATTTATTCCCTTAGTGAAATCATGCCCTGCAATCTTCAGAGGCTTTGCTAGTTGATAAGTGTGTAGCTGCTGTGCAGACAGCGAGGAGCCTGAGGGCTCACCTGTGCTGATGCTTGTAAATATGTACAGAACCGTTTTCAGAGAGGAGCCTAGCCTCCAGTGGTGCACTGCAGTAAAACATGTTGGAACTGCGTCGGGAGCTTCAGAGAGGGGTTCTTTAATAACACAGTTTTGACTAGCCAGTCTCGGGGGCAGGGGAGCGAAGAGAAAAAAATGGAATCCACACCCAAAGGATATAGGAAATCAAACAACAACTGTTTTAACTATAGCCACGTTGGCAAATACAGTGTTGGAAGAACCAAGCTTGACAGCTGTTTCTGAAGACAGTTAAAACTAAAACAGTTCAAGAAGGTCTGTTCTGTTTTGCAGACTACTATTTTAAATGTTAGTTACGTTCTAACAAGCTGATAGACTCCAGCATTATTAGATGATCCCCATATTTAAACTGCCTGACACACTTTGTGTTGTTACTATTTTTTTTTTAAAAAAATCAAAATTATGATGATTATAACTCCAGCTCTAAGGATTGATCTACATCATTGCTTTAAGAGAAAAGAAGAATAAATAATTTGTAGTTCTCTCGTGTATCAAACAATTTCTTCCACCCTATGCCAGTCTAGGATAATATCTGAATGAGCACTCTAGAGGAGGTAATGTAGAAAACTAAGCTCCAGATAACCTCACCCTGGACCCAGGTCCTAACCTCCTGTATCTAATGCATGGGGAAAAAGAATTTTTTCTGTTGTTTAAAACTGTGCTGACATGTTGGGTTATAGCACTTTCATGCAAATTCATATATTAAAGAAACGTATTGGTCCTTTTCATTTGAGAAAAAAAAATAAAAAGCAACGTTTTATTTTTTAGGTCACATAATTAAGGCACTCAAAAGATGTGGAATGCTGTATTTGTGGTTATATATGCAGTCTCAGTCTACTTCTTGCACTATATGTGTTATGTTACAGACCTTGATTAGCAGTATTGTTTTTCACAGTGTAAATCAACAATCTGAGCAGATGGTGTGTGTAAAATAATTCAAGGGCTATAAACTATGTTGAGACATTACAGCATTCTTATCTCACTTACCAAAGTGGGATCTGAGCTTGACTTCAAAGGTCAGCACTGAAGGATATTAAGAGAATAATAGAATAATGCAGATTTCTGGTCCCTTCTATTTTTTTGATGAATGCTAGAACTTCTAAATAGTGCATTTTGGTATAGTGGTCTTTGAACCTGAAATTAATAGAAAACACATTGTGGTAAATGTGAAGCTCTAGAAGTTCAGTTTTGTTAACTATCTATACAGTCATTATTATGTTCCTTTCATGATCCTTACAACATCAAAAGAAAAGGGTCTGCCAGAGGAAATACAATTTTAAATTAAGCACTGGTTGAATTTACTGCTGGTGAAACCTGTAGCGGAGAATCTTGCAAAGAGACGAGGCAGGAGATTAGAGTGTCCACTGACTTAAATATTTAGTCTAAATTGTGACAAAATCGAGTCCTAAAAGCTGAATTGAAGGCATTTTATTGTGGGAGAGAAAACAGATCCAGGTCCTTGTGCCTGCAGGTGCTTTTAGACTCATGTCCCTCAGCTAAGGGGAGGGTGGTTGCTTAGCTCCTCTGTGATCTGCTGTGGGAAGGGAGATAAAAGGTTTGCTTGTGGGGGAGCTCATCCCCACCAGTGCAGCCGTGGCTGCATCACTAAGCAGCAGTGACTTGCCAGATGCAGGTGGTGCCAGGAGCCCGCTCGGTGGGTGAGGAGCTCTTGGCTCACATGCAGAGCCAGTCCAGGCTTTCACTGCCAGAAGGGCACAAGGCAGTTCTGGCACAGAGGCAGCCAGCAGGACCCACTGAATGCCATAGTGCCCAGCTGGGATTATGCACAGTCCTTGGCACTGGAGAGGTTAAAGCTTGGCTGTAGATGTGAGATGTTCTGGCAAACCAGGTCCTCTTCATGGGCCATAGATTGGCAGCAGGGGCCCATAAATGTCTGCCTGGCTTTTGTACTCCCGATGCAGTGGAAGAAGAATTGTTCAGTGCTCATAATTTCAGTTGTTTCCTCTCCAGTTCTCTGAGCATATGGCAGCATGTTTTGGAGGTCTTGAGCTCTAATCCTGACTGTACAGTTCATCCCACAGTGTGATGCCAGGAATGTGTGTTTCTGTTTCTCCATCTGTAAAACAAGTGCAGCAATAATCTCCTCCCGTGGCGCAGACAAATTCACTGATACTTCTGAGGCATTTGGATGCTACAGTGGTGAACAGAGGAAGAAAAGCACAATGAAATGGGCACGGCTGTGTTATTTGCATACAGTGCAGGGGAGCAAGGCAGTGACCATTAGCAGAACTGTGAGGGTAACAATGACAGCATTTCCAGAATATCAGAAATCCTTAGTACACAGCCCTCATAAGGCAAGGAGAATAAGCTGAGCATGCATATCTCAGAGGGCTGGCTGAAGGTTGTATGGACATTAGTGAATGGAGCTTTTTCTAAATAATTGTCTTCCAGTTGATGTGTGTGTGTGAGGTATGATAATACTAGTCATGCATATTGCAGTTATTAGGTTAAACTAGCTTTGAATGAAATCGTGTGTCTTCTGTTTCTCTTTCATACCAGCTTGTGACTGTTTTCATGCATGCAGAGTGCTGCCATAAAACAGTAAATTAGAAGCACAATATAAAGGGGAAATAATTTAAGATAAAGGGTTTTTGTCTTCTGGCAGGCTGTGAGGTCACTTAAAGAAACGATTGAAGACTGCTGGGATCAAGATGCTGAAGCTCGACTAACAGCACAGTGTGCTGAGGAGAGAATGGCAGAACTCATGATGATCTGGGAGAGGAATAAATCAGTTAGTCCAACAGTCAACCCTATGTCAACTGCCATGCAAAATGAGCGGTAAGAAGAGAACGCATTTGGGTTTAGTCAGCAGCAAATGCCCAATGCAGTGCTCAGCTTGCTCCAGGAGGGAAGCTACAGCTTGCTGCTGGCTTAACATTTCTGCACTTGTGACGTAGGGGTGTGTTACGTGAGCTAGTCTACATGTGGGTACTGTGTGACATGGTCCTGATTGCTTGTGTTCTTAAGATCTCTGTATGTGTCCTTGGAATTCAGGCACCTTTTATCGCAACAACTGTACTTCTCACAGAGGGGCCTCTTAAACCGAGCTTAGGCAAACTGTCTCAGCAGGCTTGCAACGATATGGAGTGATGAAGGGAATTGTCTTTAAGGACACTTGCTAAATGATGCGTAAAACTTCTGTTTAAAGTGTTCTGCTAAAAACTGAATTCGCAGTCAGTTTGAGTTCAGGAAATTACAGAGTCTCAAACCTGCAGTTTTTCAATTAAAGAACCACAGGGCCATTGTTTAAGGCATCATTATTCTGACCCCAGGGAGAAAAGTGCTGTATGTTCTCTGCTTATATATGATCCACAGGGAGCAAGAATTTGCAGAACTGACATTAGTGCTTAATAGTACGTGCTAGAAATCTGGATTTGAGAGAGGAGTAATGTTGCTGTATATTGCAGCATTTATTGTCATGGAAAAAAATTATGTTCAAATCGTAGAGTATCTAAATGGTTAAAATAGTAGAGTTTTCATGGCGTAGGACCTTTTGACTTCTTCCCAGCATTGCTTTCTTGGTCTTGTCTGTTGAGTTCTTGTTGACTCCTCTAGTGTCACTTCTCCGCATCTAGGGTGGTACCTTAGCAGTCAGCTAGACAAACGGCATATTGGACAAATAGAAGAAAATTACTGTTCTCTTAGTAAATAACATCCATGATGAAATTTTGACCTAATAAAACCAATTTTATGCTACCTGGGATTTTTCGAGGAAGTTACTGAAATATCATCTCTCTTAAATGAGAGGCTTTATAACTTGAGGTGATTTTTACATATATGATCTTAATATCCCTTATTTTTTCTTAAAGGAATCTGTCACATCATCGACGTGTATCAAAGATAAGGCCATACCCAGATTACTCTTCCTCTTCCTACATTGAAGATTCAATCCACCACACTGACAGCATAGTAAAGAACATTTCTTCTGAACATTCAATGTCCACTACACCATTGACTTCAGGAGAAAAGAATAGAAATTCCATTAACTACGAGCGGCAACAGGCACAAGCTCGCATTCCCAGTCCTGAGACAAGTGTCACCAGTCTGTCCACCAATACTACCACCACCAATACAACTGGCCTCACTCCTAGCACTGGCATGACCACCATATCCGAAATGCCTTACTCGGATGAAACAAACTTACATACTACAAATGTCATGCAGCCAGGTGGGCCCACCCCTGTTTGCCTGCAGCTAACAGAGGAGGACTTGGAGACAAATAAATTGGATCCAAAAGAAGTGGATAAGAACCTGAAAGAAAGCTCTGATGAGAATCTGATGGAACATTCACTTAAGCAGTTTAGTGGGCCAGATCCACTCAGCAGCACTAGTTCCAGCTTACTTTATCCACTGATAAAGCTTGCAGTAGAGGTGACAGGACAACAGGACTTCACACAAGCTGCCAATGGTCAAGCATGTTTGATTCCGGATGTCCCATCTGCTCAGGTCTATCCTCTACCCAAGCAACAGAACCTTCCGAAGAGGCCTACTAGCCTCCCTCTAAACACCAAAAATTCAACAAAGGAGCCACGCTTAAAATTTGGTGGCAAGCACAAATCAAACTTGAAGCAAGTGGAAACAGGCGTTGCCAAGATGAACACTATCAATGCTGCAGAACCTCACGTTGTGACAGTCACCATGAATGGAGTGGCTGGGAGAGGCCACGGCATAAACTCTCATGCTGGCACCACCCAGTATGCCAATGGCACGGTGCCGTCTGGCCAGACAACCAGCTCAGTAGCACAGAGGGCCCAGGAAATGCTTCAGAACCAGTTCAGTGGAGAGGATAGTCGGCTGAATATTAATTCAAGCCCTGATGAGCACGAACCCTTGTTGAGGCGGGAGCAGCAGGTTGGCCACGATGAAGGTGTTCTGGACCGCCTCGTAGACAGGAGGGAGCGACCGCTGGATAATGGCCGAACAAATGCCAATAACAACAACAGTAATCCGTGTCCAGACACAGCAACAACCAGTATCCAGAATGTAGTGAGAAATCCTGGGCAGACCCAGACTAGAAGAGCACAGAGGCCTAATTCGCTGGATCTGTCAGCTACAAATAGTTTGGATAGCAGTAGTATGCAGTGTAAGTGCCTACGGGACTTGAACAGTTTCTCTGACGCTTTTTTACTTAGTAACTATATATATCTGCTTGAATAGAAATTCCTTCCATCTCTCCTGTCCCTCCTCAAAGCCTACTTATTAAATCCTATATAAATTTAATCTCTGGGGTCAGCACAGTCGTTTTGATAAAGTCCTGTCTCCATCATTTCCAGCACATTAGATCACTATCTTCCTTCCACATACACAGAATAAATGTGTCCCTTTCTAATCCATCTACTCTTGACTGTAGGTTAACTTTTGTAATTCCTTGCAAGGCCTCTACCTTAGCAGCTGCAAATCATACTGAAAAAGCTTCCTATTCCTTTCTGCAGGGGCACATTATAGTTTTTTTCCCTTACTTTTCCCCATCCTCCTAGGAGTAGTCATCTCTAAGATGCATTGATTAAAATAATGTATTATAATAACTACTTATATACATCATTACTTTCAAAGCAATTGATTTTACTGTATTAGCCCAGATGAGCCCTTGATGAAGGGTCGGGTGTTGTCTTTTTTGTTATTTGAGCTCCAAAAATTATAGCAATTCTTCATCAGTTTACCATGTACATATTAAAAATTAATCAAAGTAGTTACAGAAGGAATGAATTTTAATAGACCACTTCAGAATAACTACCTTAAGATTTTTATGGCCAAATATCTAAGAGGTTACAATGGGACTCTCCTTTTTACAATAAGAATGTAATCATATAGTTACAGTTAAGTTAGGTCCCTCCTTTGTGTTTGACTTTGAGCTTGTGTGAGCTGTTGGAAAGGCCTCCTGCTGTACATTTTAAAGAGAATATATATTTCCAGAAGGCACATTAGCCTTTCAAAGGTGCTTGCAAATCTCTTGACTATGTTTAGACAGATGCTGTGATACCAGTGAAATAAACTGAGGTGCCAGCACCTTTGGAAATAAAAGATTTAAAACCAAACCAGAACATATCACATATCTTTCAAGAAATGTAGTTGAATATTCAGCAGTGGAATGTTTAAGCCTTCCTTTTAAGTAGGAAACCTTATTTTTACCTTAACACGTTGACATGATTTGAAATCTTATTGAGGTAAAGAAAAAAGGTGAATTTCTTTAATTGATGGTTAAGTTAAAAGAAAGGGTCGTATAAAGGTTTTTTTTAACAATCAGATTTTTACTGATGAAGTTTTATAACGATTAAAGTTGGGTTTGCAACCCAACATTCCAAATCCTGACTTCGGATCTTAACAGAGAATGGACCATTTTGTATTCAGGTGAAATGTTTTGCCAGGTGAAGTAGGATTAGGGGATCTGAAATTTAATTACGCTATTAGAATTCTAGCCTTTGCTGTCCTTTAGTAGCAACATTCTTTTGTACCTCCCATTACAGGTAATATAAGATACTATGATTGCAAAAGCCCCTCAAATGTCAAATGCTGATTCTCCTGTTTGATGCCAATGTGCGTTCCAGGTAACACAAATTACTTCACTGAAGTAATTTCTGACAGAGAACAGAACCTAACCCCTGTTTTAATGGCAGCTGTTGCAGTTGATATACCTGTCATGCCTCTGCCACACAGTTGCTTCTGTGTGATAAGATTTTGTTGTGTTTCACATAAGTGACAACCTTGGACTCCAATCTAATCTCACCTTCCTCATAAAACTGTTTTCTACTCTGGTTTTTTTTTGTTTTTTTGGTTTTTTTTCTTATCTTTTCCTTCAGTAGGTGACTCCTCACAGGATGGCAGATCGGGCTCAGGAGAAAAGATCAAGAAACGCGTGAAAACTCCGTACTCCCTGAAGCGGTGGCGCCCTTCAACGTGGGTCATCTCCACCGAGCCTCTGCACTGCGAGGTCAACAACAACAACAACGGCACTGACCAGGCAGCCCCCCCCAAATCCAGCACTGCCGTTTACCTTGCGGAAGGAGGCACTGCCACCACAATGGTATCTAAGGACGCAGGAGTGAACTGCCTGTGAAACACTTTAAAAGCCGACAAATGACCTTTTTTTTGCATTATTTGAAACAAACATGCAGAAGACGTTTTAAAAAAAACTGCTTTCTCCTCCTGTCAGCACCCCCTACCAAGGACTCGCTTTAAATAGATTTCAGCTATGCAGAAAAATTTTTAGCTTATGCTTCCATATTTTTTTATTTTGTTTTATTTTTTGAACGTTTTTGCACTTTTATTTAGTATCGCTAAAGTTAAGTCTGTCTGTTTTGACCACGGAATATATATATGTGTATCAAAAATGTGGTCGCAAAATATTTTTTTAAAAAAAAAGTAACAAAAAAAAGTATTGCTGATAATCAGTTTGGACCAGTTTCTTAAGGTCACTAAGATCATAAGCAGACTATAAGACAGGTTTGACTGCAGTGGTGTCTTGTAACCATGTTTTGATTTCTGTGCACAAGCTAGTCTGTATATTTCTATGTTACAAAGTGTATTCTCTTTTGAACCCCTTACTTTTCTTGTGTCATGTTGAAATGTGCAATAGTCTATAGTTCATGGTATGCTTTATTGAAAAGTGTGTTTCTAAAACTGCCACATGTTCCCATTTTTGTATCTGTTAATTTTTCCCTGACAGTTGAGCAGTCAGCCGGTCATGACAGTGAACTTTGCACATTGTAGCCAGCTTGAAGCAGCTGCCTATATCACATTGTGCTCAGAGGTCACAATGCATGAATTTTCCCCAACTTGAAAGGGCTTTTAAAAAGGAACGAAAAAAAAAATCTGAGCTCTGTACCTTTTCTTTGATCCTTCCAAATCAAAATGTGTTTCCTTTATAGTAGTAGATGCCAGCCTGTGAAGTTCTGAATAACAAAATGGTGAACAAATGTAAGGAAACAGTGTCAGCCATTTTTTCCGTTTTATTTTGTGTGCAGTTTTACCCCCTGTATTTATGTAAACCTTTATTTAGATCACTAATGATGTACATTGGAAAATACATTTTATTCAGAAATATTAATAACTGTTGTACTTAAAAGCTCGAGTGAAGATAGGTTGTGAACGTACTTTGTTTACACAGAGAAAAAAATCATGAATCTTACTGGCACAAAGCAGTTTTGTGATGAGTCAGAAATCTTGCCTGATTAACCTACCTACAGTCTGAGGTAAAATCAACCTAATTACCTATGCAGGTAGGTGCATCCTAATTGACTCTTGTTGCCAAGTTGAGTTGAAACTCGTCCTCCCTTCAGAGTTTTTAGAGAGCCCCTCATTCATCGTGTTAAAATTTATTGCATGCTTTTAAAATTCATGGGTGTTTGCAGGGGAGGGTTGGGGATTTTTTTCCCTCTGCGTAGTCCCTTCTTTCAGTTTGTATGCACATTGATTTTAGCTGTCAGTGAATGTATTATCTATTGAGATAAATTGTTTATTTCACCATCTCAAGTAAACCTTACCTCTTTTTTGGAATGATTGGTTTTACTGTCTACTGAAAGAAAATTAATTTCCTTATTAGTCAGGACCTCCTTCCACCTGAGAAATATTCTTTCTGATTGAAAACACTTCAGTAAAAACTATTAGATGAAAAAGACATCAGTCTTTGGTACCAAGTAAAGTTTTATCACTTTATCTGAAAACTAGTGATGTTCAAAGAAAGAAAATCAATTCAGTCAGCCTGCCAGATTCCTGTGGCAGCATGCTGGCAGCAAACAATTGCCTCCCTTACCCTGTCTCCTTTCAGATGACTGAAACAGATGCTCTCTGCTTTTAAGCTCATTTGTTTCCTTGCTGTTTTATTATTTTTTCCCCCTGAGGTAAACTTTGCCAACCTTGTTCTTCTATATCTGATGATACAAGTAGCCTAATACATGCCTTGCTGCATCTGATTCTTGCTGTTCCCCAAAATCCCTTGTTTGTGCTTGATTGCTATGATTTTCTCTTGTAACGCTTCTTAACATTTCTTAGATTCTCCTAGATATCTCCAAGAGATAGCTCTATAAATCCAGACTTTGATTAAGTGTAGTTGTAGAAATACAAGCCAAGAGGCACGTTTCAGGCTCCTGATGTTCTTTAAGCTCCAGTTCAAATAGTACCTCTCATCTCTGAGGCGTAATTATGTTATCCCCCTGTATAAATACACAGCTATATCTCCCCTCTTCAAAAATACAGCCTTCCTCTGGTTTGACTTTTAATTCACTCTCCGGCTTCCCATCTGCTGCAATCTCACATCCCAGATGTTGAAAAACTGCCAGTTGCTCAGCTGGGTTTCAAGACCTGAATCAGAATTTCTAGCATTCTCTTCATAATACTCACTGTGTTTTTTTTCTCTTCTGGCCTCCTTTGAGTCTCCATTTGAAGTACGCTGTGTTGTTTAGTGGTGAGCGCTGTATCATGTGTACTGAAGATTCTTCACTCCTTTCCCAGTGACTTTTGCTTTGCTTTGCATGTATCATCCATCAGCATTTCAGAATATGGGCTGAAAAGAGTATTTAGGACTCTCTTGTCTAACTCAAAACACTCTGGGGAGAGAAAAGTTACTTCTCTGACTGCTGCTTCTTTTTGCTAAGACAGATTTGCACCCGTCTTCTCTAGCCTTTCTTTGCAGGCCAAGCCTTTGTAAGAAATCCAGCTTTTTTGTGATCAATGCAATCAAAATCATTGTAATACCAGATGAAAGTGTTCTGCAGTTTTCCTTAAACATTCTTAAAGCAAACAATACTTTCCCCCCCCCCTTTTATCTATTCCTACTATTTGTACGCCTCTGAGATGAATTATTAGCAAGTATTGGCTTTGCAATCTACCGTGGATAAATATAATTTACAATGTGATAGAAAAATGTACTTTATCACAAAATACCCTATAGATTAAATAGAGGAAAAACTATTTATTTTTAAATGTCAGTCAAAACAAACTCTTAAACAGGTACCAAAATATTGTAATTCTGCACAGCTAGATGAGACCAGATTAGCAGTTTGGTTTTAATGCTTAATTTAGTAATGCCCTTTTTTTTTTTTTTCTCACAGCACATAATCCAATCTCCATAGAGTACTTTCTCTGTAAGTTAAATGATAATGGATTGTGTCTCATACCACAGGGAATCATCCTTAACCAAACAAAATACATGTAGGAGAGAGAATTCTACAGACCAAACACAGGGATGGTTGATAGATGTACTATAAACAAGGGAGACAAATGTGATTTATTTCCTTGTAGTTTTTGATTTTGTTTTTATTTGTTTGTGTTTTAAGACGAAAAATGGATAATGATAAAAGTTGATAATTTTCTATTAGTTTCTCATGCATATTGCAGACAAGATAAATATAGCAAACAAAAATAGAATGATAGTGTAAATACCTATGAATTGTGTCAAATAGGCAACAGTAGAATATTTGTTATGGTAATTTAAAACAGATAATTCAAGTAAAATGATAGAGCAAACATTTGTGATGTTTGTATATATAAGACAAAATCCAAAATCTTACTGGTTATAGAAAACGAAGCCAGAAGAGTTGCTTAGGTTAATGCATTGCCTCTTGTTCTGTTTCCTATAATAAAGATAGTCACCAACATAACATGGTTTTTAGAGTGTGAACTCTAATCATTTGACCAGACATGCCTCATAGTCAGGTCTATTTCCTACTAAATTGATATTTACAAGTCATGTTATTTCAACACTTCCCCTAAATTTGCTTTTAATGCTTAATAGCTTCATGTGCTAAACAGTTGGTATTAATGAGGCCTTTCGTGAAGCTCCAAGATGCACTGAAACCACACAGCTAAAACAAAGGGATTCCTAACTTAAAACTGTCTGATAGTGTCATAATTACAGTATTCTCAGAAACAAACAACATTTCCATTTGTGTTTTGCTTTCTTAGTGCTGCCCATTTGTGTCCTGTTTTCCTATAGAAAACTACCTAATTTTCAAAGGCAACACATTTTGATTTTTTCAGCGCACTGGGCACAAAACAATGCAAGATAGATGCTGGCGAGTTTCAGGAAACAAGCAACAAAAAAACCTCACCTCGTAAATATGTTTAGAAAGTACGTATCCTCCCACCTGTAAACTTTCTCTAGAAGAAATCTGTAATCCTATCTGCCTCAGGAGAAGAAGGAAGTTCTTTAATTGTATGGAATAGATTATTGGCCCAAATTCAGTAACAATGAATTCTTACTTAAAAAAATATGTATGTATACATTACATATACTGTAGGTTCAGTGCATTTTTCTGTAATGATATTCCTTTTTTAAACATTAAAAAAACTCTACTTAACATTACTATATCTATGTTCAGATTATCATTTTCTTTCATGAAAAACATTCAGAAGTTCATAGTCATTCTGCTATTGAAATGTTACTATGGACGTTTCCAGCCTAATTAGAGAGAATTTTAAAATTCACATATTTAATCAGTGCAGGAGACATTAATTATGCTGTAATTTTTACTTGTATAGAAATGATGGCAGTTTGCATTGCTGAAACAGGCTGGTTTCAATAATAATTGCCAAGCACAGTAGCATATACATGACCTGATGGCTAACTGGAAAATTTGTAGCAGCTCATCAAAGTAAATTGAAATTGGATTGATTAGTCTATGAAAATTGGATTATAGGCTGGGCAGTTTGGTATTTTGCATGAATTTGGATTATTTGAACTTCTCTGTATGGTCTCCCACTACCCATTTTAACAGGTAAATATGTTAACCTCCTTTTTAAAATGTGCTCATTATTTTTTGTTAACTTTAAGCCTTTCACCAATGAAAACTATACATATTGCAGTGAAGCCAGATATATATATTTTTATGTAAACTCCTTATGTATTTAGATGCATATATGTATGTTGTGCATGAGTTACAGCATCAGATGGTAGCACTGGTAGCAAATATAATTTTTTTTTCATATGCCATTTTAAAATTGTCTTTAGTGCATCACAAGTTTTATGTGAAGCTGAGTAATTTAAGGTACCTCTCTTAAAGATCAAAAAATAACCCAGAACACTTAACACATAATTTTTACAAGGCTTTTTTATGTAGTAGCTATAGTTATGTGTGTGGTTGCTATTTAAACATAGTGTTTTAGTCCATTAAATCCAATTACATTTTAAGCTTCTATATTGTCATATAAAACTGTAGCTGTAGAAATACATCCCTTTTCGATCTCACCCACCTCCCAAGTGGGTTCAGTTTTGATGTGAAATAGTGACAAATCAGATTTCTCATTTTGAGCTTTCTTCTGCACTGAGTAAAATTGGTAGGAGAACTTCCGTTTCTGCAGATAACAGATGTAGGTGCTCCTGCAAACCCAGATGAGTATCATTATTGGCACAGTTGTATCCGAGGGAATCGGCACCTGACTGGCTCAGGGTTGAGCCAGGTGCTGTTGGAATCAAAGAGGAGTCTGCTGTTGATTATGGGCAAAGGAGGGGTGTGTCCTGCTGGCTGTGGTGTTAAACACTCCTTGGGAGGATTAGCCCTGGGAAAGCTGATGTGGAATGTGGGACTGCATGGGCCCTGGCTCCTGATGCCTTGCTGGGTGTTTGCTGGTGGGGTGTCCAGGCTGTCGGGCAGGGTCGGCACAGAGCAGCTGTGGTTATTGTCCAGAAGTGGAACTGCATTGGGGCACTGGGAGTGGAAGGTTTCAAGATAAGTTCTCATTTACACCAATTCCTTTAATGTGTATCTGGGCTCCACACAGGTCTGTTTTAGTGGTGCATTACTAACACAAATTACTTTTTATGGCCATCTCTATTTATTTCACTGTGGTTTAATATACACATGTGCACAATAATCAGGAACTAGTTGGAGTTATGTTACTTAATAATGTAATTGTCAGATATTTTTAAAAGCCTATTGATCAGCAACTGTTTAAATTTGCAAGTCATTCAGTTGGTTACCTTCAATGCACACACCATGCTCAACAGTGCAGTAACTGTCACACGAAGGAAGGATTTATTCCCAGTCTTTGCAGACTTCTGCAGATGTACCACAGGAGCGTACACCCACCCAGGGCACAGCACCTCGCCTGGTAACTATTTTAAAGCAGAAATAATTAGCCTTTATAACTTCCTAGTTGCAAGGTCTCCCTAAAGTCAATTTTTATAGCCCACTCGCTTGTTTTTAAGACAGCAAAAATGTGTGAGGTTTATTTCTAGAGCACTTGATTCATTTGTTTGGTTTTTTTTGTGCTTCAGAACTGTATCATGAAGTATCACACTTCAGTCTTGTTTATTCAGAAAGAAAAGAAAATAGTTCATGATTCTGTAGTTTGTAAGAAGTCACAAGAACAAACAGGCAAGTCCAAGTTATAGCTGACTCATTTGTCACTTTTGAATTTCCTGATTGGTGACTCTACTCTCTCTTTCACGCTGTTGAAATGTATTTAAAATGGTTTGTATGTAGTGTTTCTTGTCTGCTTTTTGTCTCTAGAGGAAAGCGTGCTCTATTCACATTTATATAAGCTGGAATCATATTTTACCATTGCTGTTGATTATTTTCCCCCCTAAATGCAGTATAAGAGGAAAATGAACATGGCAAGGACCGATTTCTAGGGTTTGGTCTTCTGTAGAAGCTGAAATATGGAGATGTGAAACTGCCATTTTCCTTATGAAAGACTGTAAAGAGAGCATTACTTTCTGAGCGAGCTTTTCTGGGGGAAGAGGGGGAGAAATCCTTGACTATGGAGTCTCATCAGAACCCTTTTGTTAACGGGTATTTTTGGTTTTCCTCTCAAACACTGAGGAAATATCATGTATGAATTTATAAATAATTGCTTTCAGTTATTTCTTTTGTATAAGCTGCCCAATACCCTTGCTATGCTGTATAAGTTGTGTTTCATGGAACAGTGTGAGTATGAAATAAAAAGCTAATTTTTGTTTTTTAATCATCTGTGGATGCCACTATGAAAGCTGACATTGTTAAAGCCACTACAGAGTTTTCTATGAATACTTGTAAGAATTGTTTTGTTATATATAAACCTAAATAAAGAGATTGTATTGATACAGAGACATTGGATAAGAACATTTAAAAGGCTATTCTTTAGGCCTCAAAGAAAAGGCTTGCTGTAAAATGGTGCATTATTCCATTTATTAAAGATCATATTAATGACAAAAAGCACTGTCTTTTGTGCGTTTTTCACGTTATTATTGGCCACGAGTAATAAGATATGCTCCCAGGAATGAGAGGGTTGCAGTAATGCAGTGCCTCTGCTCACTTCTCTGCCCTTTCTCACTGATCAGTCAGCTCAGGTGTTTGTATTGGAACTGGACACTGTTTTATAGGTGTTTCAAAGCAGCAGGCCTTGCATGACCTGCTGTCACACTTTGTCTGCCTGCTAAGTGTTTAAATGCAAAAAAAAAACCAAACCAAAACAAAACAAAAAAAACCCTCAGAAAAAAAACAGGAGAAAGAGGCATTAAACTAAATAGTTTTCTCCTTCAGTTTTGGTTGAGTGGCACTTGGAGAGAGCACAGGATTGATGGCAGACAGGCATATGGGAGGAACACAGCAAGGATCAACCTCTGCAGGTGGGACAGGAATTAAAAGAGAAACCCCTTATCCTTCCCACGCAAGCTATTGCACTTTCTCCTCCCCGTGAAGAGACAATGTCCTGGCATTCTTACAAGCAGGAGCTTTTGCAGCCCAGAGCTGCCTTCCTATCCAGCAGAACTAAAAGAGATGGATTAAGATAGTAGAAGGATGCTGCAAATTTCCACCAACTGGCACTTTCCACTATACACAGATTGGTGGGATCCATCCTGCAGCTCAGTTGCTCTGTTGGGTTTGTCTCTCCTCCTCACTTAATTCTTATTAATTTATTTTTCTCTATCCACAGTGGTGATTTTTGCAGGCAGAAAAGGAAAGTGATACAAGTCTTACACTTCTGTGGCCAAGGAACTAACTCCAAAGTGCAAGGAAAGAAGGGAGACAGAGTAAGGAGCTTCATTTCTTGCTGTCATAAATAAGGAGGAAGCAACAAACTGAGGCAAGTAGTGTATGGTTAAGTATCTGCCTGTATGGCAAATCACCTCAGCCCCACAAGTACGGTGGGTGATATTTGTTTCAGGCATCAGCAACACAGTGAACCTAGAAACCCCTGGCTGCAGGAAGGGGCTATGGCAAACCCTGCTTCCCCTGCAAGCAGAAGGCACACTGAGAGTGGAGGCCAGCATAACAAAAGGAGGAGACATGTCCCCAAAAGCAATTATTGTTCTTTGCTGACAGTAAGAGCAGCCAAGTCCTGCCCTACCCCAGCAGGTGTGGCTGAGCCTTGTCCTCGGGGCATCTGAGAAGCCTTGACTCAGCCCTGCAGTAACAAACTGGTGAATTTTGCTGATATTTTTTACTGGGTGCATGAGCTACTCAGGACTAAGTAGTAGTCTCCTCATAGTGTTCCCTGTGTGACCTCACACGCTCACCTCTGCCAGCTCTCTCCTGCAGAAATAACAACCACTTTTATTTGGCTTTTGCTTTGCTAATGGGAAATGAAAGTAAAACAACAATAATTATATTGCCCTTTGTTCCAGAGCAGTGATGCAGCTGCAGAACGTACTTTGTGGAACACAGCCACGTCAGTCTTCCATTTGTTTCCATTCAGGGTTTTTCCCCCCATTTGCTTCTTGCTAATTCTGATGTTATGGAAATTCTCCACGTGCAGGAGATTATAGACATCTGCTCTCTGCCATGACCCAAAGCACATTCTATTGGATAAGAAGGTTAATTTTCCACAGGCAGGAAAACTAACCTATACCAGAATGTTTGTGTCTGTATAAATTCAGCTTTTCATGTTAGCCTGAAAGGTTGTCATTCTCCATCCAATGAGGAGTTGAAACGTTTTGATTCCTGGAATTTAAATGGCACACTTTGGTGTTCTGCTTTTATGTCAGGGGATCTTCTTCCTTCAGCTCTCAGTACCACAGGGGAAGTCTGTGAGAAATCCACAAATGTGATCTGAGCCGAAGTCATGCTTTGGGGATCACTCACGCCTCTTTTTACAAAGACAACAAATAAGGCTGGCTAAGGACAGCTGGTCTGTGGGAGGTGATTAAGGAAAGCAAGTCTGTATTTACTATGCAGTGTCTGAGCAAGTGGCATTTCTCGCATGGGCAATGGAAAAATGTTAAGGATGCAAATATTGAGAAAGGTTGGAAACACCTGATCCAGGTGCATTTCAATTCCCGATGGGAAAGACAGGAGCTTCCCAGCACTCTCTATCACAGTCCAAGCACCTTTTGAGAATGAGGACATAGAGTCAGCAGAGAGCAGGCATGGTTTAGGCAGGTAATGGGCCAAAGCCAGTGGGCAGAGTCTCAGGTGCATGAGGTAGATTTGAGAAAGGAGAAAGGATGGAGGGGGGTAGAGATACTTGTTTCAGGCTTCCATAACACAGTAGAACTCAGCATTTTTCTTTGGCCCAATTTCTTTGTTGTTCCTGCCAAGTGCTAACAGGAAAGGATAGTGTAGGGCATTGTGATAAAGAGAGTACAGAGGTTGTACAGCTCGTTTTACTAGTGCCACTGCTTGTAACAGGCCTGCAAGCAGCTCCTAGGAATGGTACAGGCTTTTTTGCTTTCCTCTTTCGCTTACTGCAACCTTTGTTTGGGAGAAGTTCGTGCCACAAGATATCAGATTTCTTAATCAGAATGACCAGAAATACAGTTTTCATAATGTACTTTTATGGTGCAAGGGAAGCGAGGTTGAGCTCGTGCTCTGTTCCTGGTTCCCTTCCTGACGGTTGGTCTGTGTGCTTTGCGGTGACTGGTGTTTTGCCAGTCTGCTGTAATACTGAAATTATACCTGTTTTCTCAATCTCTCTCCCTTTCTTCCTCTTTCTCCCCCTCCCCCTTCCCTCTTATAGGAATGGTAATAATTGAGCCCTGTTGTAAGGAGTAAATTCTAGCACCTCCAGGTCTCTGGGTTAGTTAAAAAATGAGATCTGACACAAATCATTGTAGCAAGGTGTAGGTCTGACTCTAGCCCATGAGATAGGCATTGCTGCTGCACATATCACTTGTACTGGTGCAGCTAAGGTGTGTATGGGTGACCAGAGAATTTCCTGCAGGAGGGAGGCCTTGATGGATCTCTGCTGAAGTGGAAGGAATTTATTGGGAACCTGTATTTCTGTTGCCATGCCAAGAATTTTCTTGTAAGACTGTTAACAATTTTGAATCAGGCCTTAGAAACAGCTGGCTTAAAATCACCAGGAAGCCAGCTAACTTTATTTATTGTTTGCCTCTGGAAAGCCGGAATTCAACTAAATCATGTGTTTGAGCTTTACCCTGTGATTGTGAGATGTGCTTTTAAGACACAGGCAAGCAGAAGTCCCCATCTGCCTACACAAGCCATGAACTGAGACTGTTCCTTTTAGGAAGCAAAGTTTTATTTTGGAATAGGAGCAATCACATGCAAATTATCATTCAGCATCTTGTAGGATACCTAGGGGAGATTATACTGTCTCTTGTTTAAATGAACTAGGCCACTTCTCTCACTGTACCGAAAAAAAGATTCCAAAATGTGGTGGACAACAGGCCTTTTCTGCTGCTCATTCTCTTCCCTCATCTCAATCCAGGAAGAGTTCCAGTCACTCTCAGCTGGCAAGAGTTCCCATCGCTGAACCAAGCAGGATTCCAGTTGCCCCTCTCCTTCAGCAGCTGGATACTCACCACAAGGTTATTGCTTAGTGTTGCTGCTGACATTTAACACATGCTCAGAAAACTGATCTGTATGTGTGGAAAAACATGTCACTTGTAGGTGAACTTAGCACTGGCTTCTAAAGAAATTAACCTTGTACTTCTCCCAGGTAATTATGTGTGCCAGGAATGTGCAGTGGGAACGTCTCTGAAGCTGCAGGTAAATGTTGCATTGAGGAACTGGATTTCTTTGTCAGAGATGTGTTACCTTAATGCCAGTGAGGCACTGGAGCCTCTGGATGTTATTTCTGTGACAACTTTTCTTAAAGATTGTACTTCATAAAATGTGTCAGGAGTGCATTTTGCTTATTGCATGGAGTTTGATTTATGCCCAAAGTCCCATCTGTTGTTTTTTATTTTTTTTAACCTTAATACCTTATTTCAATCTGTTTGCCTTCTCAAATCCCCTCAGATATTCCAGAATATTAACTAGGCTCTTACAGGTTTTGTGTAAAGCAAATTCTATTATATTTGTCCTATTTTTTTAAATGTCTTTTTCTCTACTTGATGTTGAACACCCACAGAAACAAGCAAAACAAACTCACTCTGCAGGGGAGAGATGAGAAATGCAGTGAAATATCCTGGGGCATAATCTAGTGTTTAGATTAGGCTCCCAGAATCTTTAGTCTTTCAACCTTCAATATTGCTTGTAACAACTGTGGTTAAAAAAGCAATTTCAGTCAGTAGATTGCTCCTCTACATGTGCTGCTTTGCATTTTATTTAATTTTGGAATAAGACAATAACATATTTGAAGCTGCTTGAAGTACAGTAATTTTCTGTAGGGTTTACTATTATTGCTATTATTTTAACAGAGCATTTTTCATATATATTATTATGATCAGTGAGCAGTACTGCTTAGACATTTTCAGTCCTTAGTATAAGGAAACTCCCTAAATCTTAGGCTTTTTACTAACTGTACAGTGGGATTTGTTCCTATCAATTTGGTTAAACCCCTTTGACTCTTTGTTACTCTGCTTTTCATTTGAGGTTACCAGTTGACCAGTTTTCAGTTGACCAGTTCCCAGACTTGTTTACATCCCTGCTTTCAGCAGGTTGCAGATTTGTTTCTGCAGCTCTCTGTGTTGGATCAGTCTGCCCTTGAGGGCACTTGATATACTTCCAGCCTTTGGACTGATTTGTTTGTATCTACAGCACTTACCACACGTCATATTTTAAGAAAGAGCCAACACCTTGCACGTAAGGGGATGTTTGCCATACCTAGATTTAATCCCCCCACCACTGACTAGAAAGCAGCACATTTTGGTTGGACTCTGGATGGGTGCTGAGAGCCTCCAAGCCGGAATAAGTGTGTCATGGATTTGAAGAAACCCAGCCCAAAAGGTTCCACATGAAATGGTATGAAATGCGTTGCTCAGAGTTGGCCTGGACAGCATTTGGCAAAGTCTGCAGGCAGAAAGGAAGGTGAAGGCTGAAAAAAACCCAGAGCTTGAGAGGTGTGAATTACAAGGAGAATCTGGGGAATCTGGATCCAAGTTATTTGGGGCTGGGGTTTTGTTTTGAGGAATTTTTTTGTAATTGAAAAAAAGTTTCAAAACTATTTTCAAGTTCATAATCCTGCTTTAGCTCTTTCCATTATTTCCATAAGGTGTAGGAGTAAAATCCTGTTGTAACACATTTGTTACAGTTTAAACAAATGAACGTACTAAGTACACGGTGTTTGACTAGGTCTGAGTACATGACTTTACATGTTGAACTCTCACATCTGCTGCAAGTAGAGTGATACAACTGCTGATGAGCACTACACATAAATGCTGTGCTTTATATTCTCACAGCAGCTGTGTGGAGCAGTGTCATCTCTGCAGTGTGACAATAATGTGGGAAGTACTATAATTGTCACAGGTATCTTCTGCGTTCAAAGTCGTGACTTGACTCCATAACATGCATCATGAAAATAAATACGAATCAATACCTGTCATTTTTGGCCTCTTCAAAACAGTAACAGGAATAAGAATGCATCCAGAATATTTTATGCCTTGGAAGTATCTTTATGGCACACTGCTTCCAAGTACTTGCAAATACTGCTTCCCAATATTTCTGGGGAGGATAAATTGTCCAAGGGATGAAAGTCTGCTGCACAAATCTATTGGCACTGGGTGCTGCCACAGCAGGAAGAATTGCATCTTCTGCTCTTGACTGAAAATTACAGCAAAGAAGTGAAACAAATGCTGCATAAATTAACCTGCTTTAGGATAACTGTGTGCTGTTTTGGGCTGCTGTTGCCGCTTAACCTGTCAGGCAGCTGGCAGGTTAACACACTACACACCTGCTCTCTCACTTGCCCTCCCCCAGTGGGGTGGGGGAAGTGAACTGGGGGGAAAAAAAAAAGATAGAATTTGTAGTTTGAGATAGAGTTTAATAGGACAGATTAATAATGATGATAATAATAATAGAAGAATATACAAAACAAATTATGCACCTGACAGCTAATGCCCAGCCAGTCCCTGAGTAAATAATTCACCCTTATGTTGCCAGTGCAGATCCACCTGAACCACTTCAGTGGCCCAACACACTTTTACAAGCAGCAATATCTTACCAGAGTTCAGCAGCCCAGGTGGGCTTTCCCCTCCTCTGACAGTTGCTCTGCTTCCATCGCTGCAGCCAACCCTGGAGAGCATTTGTCACCATCTGAGAGTCAGTACAGAGATGTTTCTCATCCAGCCATGTCTAAAGCCACCTGGATAGTTTCACCTCTGCAACCTGACTCGATTCACCTTGTCCTTCAGCAATTTCTGCAGCTTGCTGTGTGAGGCTCCACACAGCAGCTTTCCATCAGTGAACAGCTCACATGGCTTCTTGTTTTCTGATAGTTCATTATACAGTGGAGGTTCTTCAGCACGTGCCACCTCCTCCTTGGCAACATTCCGAAATCTTTGCCTTCTGGCCAGCTCATGATCACTTCAAAAATTCCTGGTGATTGGAGTTTTGTGTTCAACCTTGTTTTGTGATCAGTGTGACTCACTTAACATCATGCAGCTGATGCTACACGGACTGTAGAGGGGATACCCAGCCCCACAGCAGCAGTCAGGGTGCCAGGAGGAGCTGTGCTTCTGTACCAGTCACTTCCGAGGCGCCTCGAACACCTTCACCTGCTGCCAACATTGCAGGCCTTGGATCTTCTCTATCGACGGCTCCAAAACCCTACAGGTGACCTCGAGTCTCCCCTGGTGCTCTCTGTCAGAGGCTCCAGGTAGGGCTGTTCTCCCTGACTGCAGTATTTTGGTAGTTGGTGGAGACATAGCTGTTATTTTGTTGATCACATCCTTTGGGATCTAACAACATCCATCTTGCCATTTAGTTCCTAAAAACTTCTTCTCCTGTGCAGGACCCTTGACCTTACTCTGTGTTATGGCAAAACTGGCTTTCAGAAGGATTCAAGCTATTTTCTTCCCCTTCTCAAAAACTTCTTTTGCTGTGTTGCCCCACAGATGAGTCACAGAAACTCCTGAAGGACAAAGCAGCAAATGGGTTCCATTTATTTCTCCAGGCATGCCAGGTGCTGGTTTTTTACCTTTGGAGAGCTGTGAAGTTCATGTTATCTTTATAATATATACATGGAGTCACTGAGGGAATTATGAGATCCCTTCACCTCCAATGACAGCAGTATGCAGCCTGTACTAACTATTCTTTGCCTCTCAGCCATTCCTGGTGAGGAAAGCGCAGTCTCCCAGGTATTCCATTAATTAAGTGGGTTATCAGGGGTTTTGATGCTTTGCCACATTGCATCAGCCATGCTTGTGATGGATACAAGAAAAGGACTGTGAAGTGGCCCTGTGTGTAATTTATAAGGCAACTTAAGTAAATTGCACAGTTGAATAAAGGGATACAATAGGACTGATGGTGATCTGCCAGGCTTCTGGTACCTTCCCTCGGCAGCCACTTTCAGATGTAGCCCACAATAATTCTAAAGACTGGACACAGCCTCTTGTAGCCAGTTCTGATTGACCCATCCAGCTCTCCTTAAGGCCATATTACTAGTATTTAGAGTACCTGTAAATAATGCATTTTAAAATAAATTTATTAATTGAGAATGTAAGAGCTTACTTCTCAACAACCTCATCACTAGAAACACATCTGTCCTGTTCTCTTTCACCAATCTGATCTCTCATAAAAAGCTTTCAACTCTGACAAGAGCTTTAACCTTTGAGGCTTTAGGTAGGCCAATGTCCAGGCATCCTTGAGAAGGGCCTGTGCACATTATAGGCTCGCTTTTCAGGTTTGTTGAACTTGTCAGCACACGGATGGAGCTCCTCAAAGGGGAAGTGGGGCTTTTTAGGTGAAGTAGGCTTCAGTCAGAAACAGCAAAGGAGAAAGGAAAGGGAAAAAAAAAGCCAAACCCAAGCACAACCAAGCTGAAGAACAGAGAACAATATGTAATTTGTTGTCACACCATTTGTATCATAGCAATGGTATTCAATTGCAACATGCAACTTGTAGAGCAATATTGAAAAGAATTTGGGTAAGTTCTGGTAGCTCAGAACGGGCATTGCAATAAAGACAGAAAAAAGATTTATTGATTCTTTCTCAAGGGTGCTAACGTGTGTTTACCTTGCATTTAAATAACCCTAACACATGAGCTAGGGCTTGTTCCATGCATGTATTCACTGTCCTGATGTATAAATCGGGTTAAGAGGATGCCAGCAGTTCACAAGTATTTTTAAAAGATTGCAGTGAAGATGCAACTAATCTAACCTAATGGAAAAAGAGTAAACACAGCAATTAAGGGGAAAGGGGGTCAAGTCTGCCTGGATATTGCCCACGTCCCTGGTGCCATCATTGGTAACGGCGAGCGGGTGGCAAAGCGATTGGATAAACCGCTGCGGAGCCCCGTCCTCTCCTGGAGTGCACCTAGGGCTAGGGATAATGGAGCAGAATAGGAATAATGGTCCCTTGGAACGGGACCGAGGCACTGGTGAGCCGCAGCCGCCACCCCTGCCGGCGTCCAGCATTCCACGTGTCCGCGGGCACCCCGGCCGGGACGCGGGGAGCCGAGCGGCGGTCGCGGGGGCCCTCGGGCACGTCCTTGTCCCCCGGGGGCGGGATGGGGGTCTAGCCTGGCGCGGGGGCGGTGGGGTCGGGGCGGGCCCTGCCCAGGCTGTTCCCGAGGGGTCCCGGGCTGTTCCCGGGCTGTTCCCCGGGTCCCCCCGCGGCACGTGCCGGGGGCAGCTCGCGGCCGCGCCGCCGCCCGCGTGCGGCTCAGTGCGCGCGACCCCCC